CTATTATCTCTGTATATCTATTACCTATCATCTATTATCTATCTACGTATCTACCTATTATCTACCTATATATTATCTATTTATCTATCTATTATCTACTTATCCACTTATCTATCTGTCATCTATCTGCAAGGGGATATCAGGCAGGCTGACAGCATCAGAGGCAAGATGGTGCAAAGTGGCTGTGTGCATGCTGCAGAGCCAGACGACCCAGTAGCTGCTCAGCCCAAGAAGCTGCAAGTGCACAATGAGAGGGATCAAGGATGCAGTTCCACTGTGGGATTCCAAGCCTGGAACCTCATGGAGAATGGCTGGAACGGATTCATATAGAAAGTCTGAAGAATTTGACGTTAATGGGGCCGGGGATATAGCTCAGCAGCATAAGCGCTTGCCTGGCAAGCCTGAGGTCATGAGTTTGATTCCTGGTACCAAACAAACAAACAAACAAAAAAACCAAAACAAAACAAAAAAAAGAATTTGACGTTAGTATCCACAGTTGCAAAAATACAACCCTTAAATAATGGTGTACTAATTTTAAATTAATACGTCATTGCAGTACATAATGTTCACATTCCTTCCATGGAGTTGGCGCATGTACATAACACCTCTTAATTGCTATTGTTATCCCCTTCCCCTCATCTTCCTCTCCCTGAACCTCCCTCCCTCCATCTCTTGATCTCTTTCCCATATGAGAAAGATCCTTCTCCCTACTTCCTATTATCTTCTATTTTATTCTTTATATATACTTTGAGTTTTTCATATAGGAAAATCTATGTGATATTTAAGCTTGAGAGTTCAATTTATTCCACTTAACATTGTGGTCTCAGGGAGAATGTAGCATTTAACATACAGACCAACTATCTCCTTCTTCCCTTTCATTCCTTTTGGGCTGTAAGCCTATTGGCTTTACTGGCCCACATGACAATAATCTCTGGACACTCCTTGGAAACACCCAAAGTGTGCTTTAGTAACCTGCTAGGCATCTCTTCATGCAAGTCAAGTTGACAAGCACCAAGGCCATCACATCTGCCCAGTGTGTCTCATGCCCATGAGGTCTGTAACCCAGGTTGGGCTACCTATTAGGGTTCCTTACCTGTGGAGATAAATAGGATGTACTTGGTAAAGTCTCCACTTTCCCTAGGAAGTTTTCTTGAGCTTTAGGAGACCAGCTTACAGTGGATTTGAAACTTCTGTCCCTTGTCACCTATCTATAAATAGTAAATACACTTTGCACATCTTGTGAGTGAATGTGTTCTCTGTCACAGGAGTCAAATAGGTAACCAGTGCATGGTGAATTTAAACAACAGCCCAGGAAGCAGTGGGCAGAAGTATTATGGATTCCTGTTTCTTGACACAGTGTGATTTTCCTACACTTCACAATGAGGGTCCTCAGTTCAGGTTTTCTGAATGTTAGGACCCCTCTGTGCAGAATCTAGCAGGGATTTGAAATCTGAGAACCTGGTGACATCAAATATTTCTCAATGCTTCCCATTATAGATGTCTCAGTAGCACACATAGTGAATACTGACAAGGGATACTCAATGAGCAGGAGAACTATGACAATATTTTTGTATCCACGGATCCTAAACCACCTTATATTCCCAAGAGTCTCTTAAAAGCTTTGCTAGTTTCTGTTTTCCAGCCAGTCTGTTATGGCAAGTTTGTCCTTTCATCAGCTGTGAAGAAGAGCCTTAGAAAGTGACTTCAGAGAACATTCCTTTAGATCTCTACAGTAAGAGCTCACTCCTTGCTGGAATTGAGCTCCATTTGTGCTTTACATTTTAAAACATTCAACTGCATTTTATAGTATTGACTTTTCAAACTGGTGTGGTGGTGCACACTTGTAATCCCAGCACTTGGGAGGCAGAGGCAGAGGGACTACCAAATGCTCCAGGGCAGCCTGGGCTACAAAGTGAGTTCAAAGTCATCCCAAACTCGTTATTGTAGTGAGATATATCTTTTCTCTACAATTCTTAATATTATAATCAGAAGCAAGAAGTACAGTATGAATGCCTGAAATGTTTTTATGTCTTTTTTAAATATCTATTTTGTCATAATTTTTTCTAACCATTACAGTTAACAGCTTAAATATACTAATTTTTTTTTGTATTTAATGCAAGCAAATACCAGGCCAAATCCCATATTGATCTTAGCCTCATTGAATCCCTATTGGGTTTTTTTTAGTCTTTTTTTTTTTTATACAGGGTCTCACCATACAGTTCAGGCTAGCCTTGAGCTCAGTTTTTTGCCCCAGGCTGGCCTTGAATTTGCAACGATCCTTCTGCCTCAGCCTCCTGAGTGCTGGCGTTACAGGTGTGCACCACCACTCCTGACTCCTATTGTTTTTAATAATACAAAAAGTATATATTCTGAATTTATTGAGATTAAGCTGATGATTAAGTGCCTCAGGAGGCTTGCATTCTGTAATATTTTTCCTCACAACAGGGACATTGTTTCACATCAGCACAATATAATTATCACAATACAAAATTACCACTAATACATTGCTGTCATGTAATCTGCAAACCCTCTGCTAGTTCTATTAATTTCCCAAGATTTTTAGAGCAAAACTCAATCCAGGATCACAATATTGCACTTAGCTGCCATGTCTCTTCAGTTCCCTCTAATCTGTAATGGTTCTACTATCTTTTTATTGTTTTCATAGTCTTGATTCTTTTAACAATTATAAGCTAGTATTTTGTGAGTGTCCCTCAGATTGGGCCTGCCCAGTGTTTCTGCATGACTTACAGGCAGCACTATCACAGAAATGATGCTATGTTCTTCCCAATGCATCTTATCAAGGGAGTATGACTTATTTGCATTCCTAGTGACGTTATCTGATGACAATGAGAATGATTTCTCCTCTATGTAGTTACTCATTTTCTCTTTGTTATTAATAACTATGGGGAGGTTTTTTGAGAGTATGTGTTACTCAGCTTCCCAATTCTGTGACAAAATACCTGAGATTCAATTTGAAAAGAGGAAAAGGTTTTTTTGGTTCACAGTTACAATGGTTTCAGTCCATGGTCACTGTCCATGCTGCTTAGGACTGTAGTGGCCCAGTACTTCATGTATGCTGGAGAAAGTCTGTTCCCCTTTGGTTACCAGGAAGCCAAAATAGAGATGGGAAGGCACTGAGGTCCCTATATCCTCTTCAAGGAAACACCCCAATATCATTTCTGAGATGTGCATGCAAAGGTACACAACCCGAATGTAATCATGCAGAAATCTTGAGCAGTCACAATTGATGCACATTCACAAAATACTAGCCTATAGTTTTGGTTTTTTTCTTCAATCAGATTTCATTAGTACATTTTAGATAAACATAATGATCACATTCATCATAGAGAATTTGTACCTGTACATGATATAACTTGATTCTTTTTTCCCATTCCCCTACACTCCCTTCTACCCCTCTTTTCCTCCCCAATTATGAGAGTTTTTTTTCCATTTTTTCCTTTTCTTACTTTTTGTCACTTTTCTCTTCTTTCCTTTTCCCTTTGAACATTTTCTTCCTGTTTTATAATACCTAATATACATATAGATCCTTATTTACACTTGGTTTCTCACATCAGAGAAAAAATGTGGTATTTACATATGTGTCTGATTTATGTCACTTAACAGTATGGTCTCAAGATGCATCCACTTACCTAGGAATGTCTCAAACTTATCCTTCTTTATGGCAGAGTAGTACCCCACTGTATAAAAAACACCACATATTCTTTATCCATTCCTCAGGTGGTGGGCATTTGGGCTATCTCCAAGATTTAGTTATCACAAACTGTGCTGCTATAAACATGAGTGCACATATATATCACTGTGGTATGTTTTTAATTCTTCTAGGAAGATACCCAGAAGGGGAATAGCTGGCTCAAACGAGACCTCTAGTCCTAGTTTTCTGAGGAATCTTCATACTGATTTCCACAGTGGTTGCACCAGTCTCCACTCCCACCAACAGTGAAGAAGGGATCATTTTTCCCTACACCTCTGCCAGCATTCGTTATTGGTTGACTTCTTGATGTAGCCATTCTTTCTGGAGTGAGATATTAAAACAGAAACACTAAATCTACTGGAAAAGAGAATAGACAGAACTCTTGATGACATGGATGTAGGCAAAGATTTAGTGAACAAAATGCTGATCACACAGGAAATAATACAAACAATCAATAGCTGGGATCTCATCCTATTAAAAAGCTTTCAAACAACAGAAATCACTAACAGTGAAAAGATAAACCACAGAGTAGGAAAAATCTTATCCCGTTGTTCTTCAGGCAAAAGATTACACCTAAAACATATAGACAAATGAAAAAATCAGAGCCCCCCCCCCAATGTAAAGACTGAATCCAAAAATGAGCATCTGAGATGAATACACACTTCTTGGATGAAGAAATACAAATGGCAAATAAATATATGAAAAAATGTTCAACATCACTGATTACTAGGGATGCAAATTGCAAATATTTTAAAATTAATTTTAGATTTAAGCATTTTATTCTACCTATATAAATACAATGTGGTAGAAGTTAACAAGCAAACATAATCATGGATGTCACATGTAAAGTGAGTGAATAATTATTTGAAAATCAGTGTTTGTAATTTCACAGATTGTTAACTTTGTTAAGAATTCTACTGGGAAATTGTGAAACTCATCCCTTTTTGTCATTTTCTATTGCAGGGCTGCACCAATAGATAAAAAATACTCAGCTTTTACAAGTGGGGGTGCATTAAATACATAGTGATATTTGAATATTTCTAAAGACAATATCCCTTATATCCCAGTAGACAGAGTTACTGGCCAACAATCAGGCAAATCCTCATTCTGATATACTTGGATTTGGCCGTGACAGCAAGCTAAGATGAGTGAAAACACAGTGGTACAGATCTGTGTTGTCAAGAACAGCTGGCAGTTTCCCCAAAATGATAACAGACACTATGACCTGTTTGTCAAATATACGGACTATTTTTGCACCTATATTTCTAATTCCACACTGATGCTCCCAAATTCCTGCTTAACTCAAGCCTTCCCCCTACTACCCACCATCAATTACCTCTTCCACTCTCCTCCCAGATATGCTTCCTAAAATCTCTTGTAACTTCTTATCCTCATTTCTATACTGTCTGCCTACTTCTAATGCTACCAAACTCCAACAGGAAAATATTTTGTTACCTGGGCAAGAGATTTGAGAATTTTGTCTTTTGCCCACATTCAGAACCTAAAGACAAGGGGAAACTGCCAGGAGGAATCAGGTAGCAAAAACTGGGAGATTTAACCAGACGGCAGAGTGGAGATATTTGTGACCTATGAGTTTCTCCTTTTTCATTAATGGAAGCATGGGCACAGGAAAGACTGAACTTCCATAGTTAGGTTTATTGGAATAGAGAAGAGATTGGGGTCTGGCTTTGGGGAAAATGTCAGATGTGGGTGTTAGTGGGTGAAGAAAGAGACAAGACTATAGAGAGATATAATTTTATTTTATTTTATTTTTTGTCTTTTTGAGACAAGGTTGAAGTTCCAGCTGGCCTTGAGCTCACTTTGCAGCCCAAGCTAGCCTCAAACTTGCAGCAATCCGCCTGCCTCAGCCTCAAGTGCTGGGTTACTGGTGTGTGCCACCATACCCACCCTGAGACATGATTTTAAAATCTTAACTAGTTTATTAGTGTGTTTTCTCTGCTTCTTCCAATGATATATGTCCTATATCAAGGTTAGCACTGCCATCATTACAGTAATCGTCATTAGTGCAGCAAAATACTTCTTTCATAAGGTCGTGGTATACTTGGGCTACTCCTCCCACACAAGGTTTGCAAGACAGAACTGTATAACGAAACAGGTATCTCCCTAAAGAGAGAAAAGAAAATGTGTTCACTTTATCTCATTTTACCAGCTCCCTGGCAATGTCTTCACCCCAGAACCTCACTGATGTTCTAGAGACTAGAATGATCCCCAAGGCTGTAGATGTACGTCCTTTATGTCTCTCTAATCATGAGCAGCCAGAAGATATCTGCATCCACACAACCCACATGCAGTTTTGTATCTGGAGAACCCACATTCCCACCTTCTTCCATGATCCCAATTTCTCTCTGTACCTCAACTCCAGGGATTGTGCTCACCACTGGTGAAATTCTGTGTCTTTTTCTAACCTCCACTTACCTGTATTGACATCACTAAAGTAAAAATTTTCTGTGGAACAACTCTTGTTTTCCAGCCACAAATTAAACTTCCAGCAGGTATTCATGCCCCCCCGGCATTTATATCCATCATAATGCTTACAACTATGACAATATCGAATCCCTAAAGAAAAGAAAGGAATCTTTAATGAATAACTCTAGGGAAAGTGAGTCTGCTGTAGAAGGCTGGGGTGGTGGAAATATCACAAATAGGATGTTGACACTGCCCCGGCTTTATCCCTCCATCAGGGACATCTGTGATTCTCTCCAAGAATTAAGGACTCCAGCCCCTGGCAGGGGGCAGAAAAAGACCCTGGAGTAATGAGTGAATAGAGTGGGGCAGTATTTAAATAACTCAGGAATGTCCCTCCTCATTGTAGCATTATTTATCCAAGAACTGCAAACCAAATGCACTATACATTGTTCCCCGAGTCCGTCACCTGTGAAGAGAAGAAAAATTCATCTTAAATCATTTCACAGTAGCACCAGAAGCCAAGTGCAGAAACCTCTTCCTCCTCTACCCATACATTTTCCTACCACCACTCTTGCCTCGCTCTCCAGACCTTACCCTCATCCATGAACAGCACTGTGACCAGGCCCAGCAGAAGCAACCTAAACATCCTGGGGCCCATTTCTGAGAAGGTCCCAGTAGGAGATTCCAGCTTTATTTATTCCCAGCCCCTGCCCTCAGGCATCCTTCTAGAATCACAGAATCATAAATTTCAAAACAAAACACCTGAATCCTCTCTACAACGTACCCAGAAGACGGTACACCTTGTCTGTTTTTTCACTCCTCCAGCTACTTGGAACTCAGCCCACCCAAATAACTCATTTCATTTCATGAGATCTCTCATAAAATACCAATTTATGTTGATGCACAAACTCTATCCTCTTCACCTTGGTGGTGTTTCTGTTTGTTGATCTATAAGAAATATGTGTAAGTTCACATCCACATGACATCTTTTCAGATATGATAAAACTAGGGTCATAAAGTACTGTGAGTGAGTTACTCAGTCCCACAGGATAGCACAGTCCTTCTGGCCACTCTCACCCAGGTGACCTCTATGAGACCATATTCTTTCTAGAGCACAGCACCAGAATAGAACACAGTACTTCAGCTGAGATAGTCTAAATGCTCGATCCCTCCTAAGGGGACAGAATGGTCTAAGAAAAGGGGCAGTGGGAAGGAGATGAATACCACACCAAATTCTCCTGAACTTAATTCATTACTTTTTCCTCAGGCAACAACGTTGGCTACTAAATCAGTAGTCCCCAACTCTTTTGATGCCAAGGCCAGGCTTCTTGGAATTTTCCCATGGATTGTGGGGAGTTTAGGTAGTGTTGTAAGTTGGCAGGGGTAGGAGGTTGTACTTCAGGATTAGATTCTTATTAGGAACAAGGAAGCTGGACCCTCAAATATGCAGCTGACAGAAGAGCTCCTGCCTTCTAATGATCTAATGACCCTGGTGATCTGACTGGAGGCAGAACTCTGACAGTAATGCCAGCTATGGGGGTGGAGGCTGTAAACACAGATGAAACTTAGTTTGCTGGCCATCTCTATGTGGTCCAGTTCCTCATGGACACCTGTCCTAAACGATTACAGTGCAAGATACTAACACTGATGTTATGGGGACAAAAAGAGAGGTGTCTTTGCACTGATCCCTGGCAAGGGTATGAAGACAGGAAGTTGGTAGGACTAGAAGAGAGTTGTGTTAGTTCTGCCATCTCTCATCCTGTCAGCTGTCGGACTCCAGGGGGTATTTTCCTATCCAGTATATAGGTAAAAGAGCAAGACTCCCTCACGACACCTCTCTTATGCCTCCTGGTTTTCTACAGAGTGCTTACCCAGTTTGTGGTACTAGGCCTCATCTGCGTCACTTTGTTTCTCATCACTCACAAGATGAAAGCTCCATGGATGCCAGAGATTCAGGTCTTGCATCCACTGCTTCCTCCTCAAGGCCTAGAATCATGTGCTGCAAGTTATGGCTTGTGTCTAGATGTCTCCCAAAGCCTCACACAATTATGGGGTGGGCTTCTAGAGTTTTTGATTGACTCAGGGGCCAATGCTGGGATTATGGGTGTAAGTGCTATACCCACTCTAGGGTGGGCAGCCTGTAAAAAGCATAAAGGCAGAAAAGAGGCTTGCTCACTTGCTCCTTCCTTTTATTCTTGCTGCTTTTGCTGTTTTCCACCACCATGAACAGTTGTCTTCTGCCATGTGCCACTCTGTCTTGGAGTTAGCGAGTATGGACTGAAACCTCCACAAACTGTGAGCTAAATAAACCTTTCCTTCCTTAATTCTGGGCATCAGGTATTTTGTCCCAGCAATGAGAGAAAAGTAACCAAGATGGAAATTTTTTACCAGAGAAGTAGGGTCATTGCTGTGACTATACCTCATCATGTGGTTCAAGAGCTTTTGGGAATGGCTTGTGGGAAGAGTTTGGAAAGGTTTGGAGATGTTGCCTGAAAGAGAAGTGCTAGAACGCCTTTGGTTGCTCTGTGTGGGGGACTCTTATCAGAGCTCAGGAGACCAGAAGGCTGATAGACATCCTGCTGGTAAAGACAGGGCTTTTTCTGCTGGGAAAAAGTACTTCATTGGCTGCTGGACTCCAGATGATGTATGTTATGGTTTGGCAAAAAGTTTGTCTGCATTTTGCTCTTGTCCAGAGGCTTTGCCTAAGACTGAAATTAAGGGTGGTGGACTGATTAAGCTGGCAGTAGAAATTTCAAGGCAGTCAATGTTGAGGTTGTGGCATGCCTACTGTTGAGGGCTTTTAGTTAGATTTATGTTGAGAATCAAGAGCAAAGAGCCCACCAGGATGATTTAAAATGTTGTGAGTTTGGCCAGAAAGAAAGCTCCAGTAAAGCTGTGGACTGCAAAGACAGAGCTGAGGAGATCTTCACTGCTGAGAAGGAACAGGACAATAGAAAACATGGCCTGAGATCATCACAAGAAACAGCAAGTCTATACCCTTTGCAGCCTCCAACCTGAAAAAGTGAAAGACTTTGTTTTGAGGAGAATGCCACAGAGCATCACGTTCCGCAAGGGCAGCAGCCAAACTATGTTCCAGAATAGTGGCAGTGACCACACTGGGTTCCAAAATGGTGGCAGCCTAGAGAATTTGTTCCTCAGAATCAGGAAGAATTCTCAGCAATCCAGGCACTCAACCCCTATAATCAAGAGAGAAGAAACCCTGGCCACTGCTCCAGGCAGCAGCAGATCTTAGCATCATCCACGCAGTGTTGGTTTCAGTTGTTGTCTTATTTACTTTTCTCTCACTGCTGGGACAAAGTATCTGATGCCCAGAATTAAGGAAGGAAAGGTTTATTTAGCTCACAGTTTGTTAAGATTTCAGTCCATACTTGGCTGGCTCCAAGGCAGAGTGGCACATGCCAGAGGGCAACACTTTATGGCAGCAGAAAACATCAAAAGCAGCAAGAGCAAAAAGGGAGGAGCAGCAGTAAGCAAATTTCTTTCCCTCCCTTATATCGTTTGCAAGCTACCACTTCAGTGTGCATGTAGCACTCACACCCATAATCCCAACATTATGGACTATGGGTCAATCAAAAACTCTAGAAGCCCACCCCCATGACTGTATGAGGCTTTTGGGGGGACATCTAGACATAAACCACAGTAGGTGCATGCGGAATGCAGGAGTTCTGAGGTTAAAAAGGCTTCCACCCAGATTTCACAAGAAGGCCTGGGCATCTAGGCAGTGTGCCCCTGAAAGGGCAGTGTGTGAAGCTATGAATGAGAAGCAAAAAGTACACTGAAGATCCTAGAAGTTTGGAAAAGCCAGGAATGTGGATCATCTAAGGAAAGTTACAAAGAGGGAGCAAATCAGGCCTAAGAGAGAAGCCATGGTCACTAAAACTACCAGAAATGCCATAGGGGTGGAGCCATGTAAGGCATTTGTAGCTCACAATTTATCACAGATTCCTTCAGATGCTCCACATGGAACTAAAAGGCTGTCTTGGTTACTTTTCTCATGTTGCTGAGACAAAATACCTGACACCCAGAACTAAGGAAGGGAAGGTTTATTTAGCTCACAGTCTGTGGAGGTTTCAGTCCATAATCAGCTGGCTCCAAGGCAGGGCAGCACATGGCAGAGGGCCAGGCTCTTTCCCTCTCTTGCAGTGTATGCAAACAACCCAACCCAGAGCAAGTGCAGCACTCACACTCATTATCCCAGCATTGAATCATGGATCAATCATAAACTCTAGAAGCCCGCTCCATGACTGCATGAGGCTTTGGGGGAACATCCAGACACAGACCATAACATTCTTCCCCTGACCCCACAAAGACTCATACACATCTCTTTACGCAAAGGCATTTAGTTCATTTGCAAGAGTTGCCAAAATCCTAACAGTACTGCTGAAAAGTCCAAGTCCCAAGTCTCTTCCAAGATGCAAGGCAAACTCTTATCTGTGAGCCCCTATAAAAATGAAAAGTTAAACACTTCCAACATTCAATGGCACAAAATGAACATAACCATTCCAAAAAAATACAAGCAGGGGAATACAAAGCATTGGGACCAAAGCAAGTCCAAAATCAACATGGGCAAACATCAAGTCCTGTGATTCCACATACATCATCTGAAGCAACTAGTGGCACACTGTGAGCTCCAAAGGGCTTGAGTGACTCCACCCCTATGGCACTTCCAGTGCTTAGAGCTCCCATGGATTCTCTCTTGGGCCCACTTTGCTCACTCCTTGCAGTTTTCCTCAGACAATCCACGTTCCTGGCTTTTCCAAACTTCTGAGATCTCCACTGCACCTTTCACTTCACATACACTGCCCTCTCAGGGGCAGGCCTTCTGAAATTGAAGTGGAAGCATTTTAAACCTCAGAACTCTTGAATTCTGTATGTGCCTAAAACCAGTGGCATGTGGATGATGCCAAGGTCTGCTGCCATATGGAGCAGTAGCCAAGATTTCCTCCCTCTTGGCCATAGGGGTCAAGTGCCTTGATTTCTGGGCACTTTGCAACCCATTCTGAGGAGCAAATTCTCTATGCTGCTGTCATTCTGGAACATGGCACTCTGCAGCTTTCTTCTCAAAGCAAAGTCTTTCACCCTTGCAGTTTTGAGGCTGCAAAGGGTGGAGACTTGCTACTTCTTGTGAT